GGCTGAAGCGATTCTCTTGCCTCAGCCTCCCGAGTAGCTGGGACTACAGTCACCTGCCACAACACCCAACTATTTTTAGAGATGAGGTCTCACTCTGGCTCAGGCTGGGTCTGGAACCCGCGAGCTCAGGCAATCCATCTGCCTTGCCCTCCCAAGTGCTAGGATTACAGGAGTGAGTCACCAAGCCTGGCTAACAGAGATAAATTTTATAACTGCAGACCCAACTCCCTTAGTCTGGGGAGTCTGAGACTCCCTGTGCACTGTCTACCTCCACCAGTGAGTACTCAGAGCTGAGCCTCTGGGCACCTCCTCCATCTCCTGAGTGGGAGACCCTAGCCCCACCCAAGGCCACCAAAATGAAGCCCAAGAACATTTTCAGAAGTAAGTTATAACAGCACTTCAGGAAAAGGCTAAACATGCCTACCTTCACCCATGGCTTTGTGTGCTGTACCCTCTGGGGACCCAGGTGCCCTGCTGTCAGCCCCAAAGGTGCAAGGACCTTCTCTTCACTGCCAGCACATGGGATGATTTCGGGGAAGGCCAGAGTGGGGCAACAGAAGAGGCATGACCCCTCCCCTCACATCCAGGACCCACCAATGCCATATCCCCCACAAAAACCAACGTCATGAATCCAGGCAGAAGTTTCCACATTCTATACACAAAAGCCACATGGCCATCTCCAGCTTGTGCTGAGGTGGAAGGACCCACATGCCCCCCAGGCTGCCTACTCCAACTGCTTCGGGAAAATGAAGTAAACTTTAGGGAACAGAAAAAACAAAAACAGCAGCCCATGCCTAAGGAATTGTCAACTGTCCTGGCAAGCCCACCATGGCCACAGGGGCAGGTGACTCACTGGTGCCCTGCACAGCAACTCTCCCAGGCACTACTCACCAGCCACTCTGGCTTCCAGATTGGGAAGGCAGGAGGGAGGCGCAGTAGGGGGAGGCCCCGTTTACAGTGATAGGAGTGAGCCAAAAGGGCAGTACCTGCCATCAAGGAATACAAGGCCCCTGAAAGAATGAATCTGTGCCACCAGGAGGAGCTGAGGACACAGACTACAGCCTACAGGCCCAAGGCACCTGACGAGGTGGCAGTAGGCAAGGATGAGAATGAATCCCAAGTGGGCACCCCAGGTTGGAGTTGGGCAGCAGTTCTGTGCCAAAGTCCGCAGTTAGCCTGAGTGGGTCCAGCTAGCTGGCACGGGCAGCAAACACCCAACCCTGGAACAACGGAGGCGGCTAGCTGTGGACTGTTAATGCCACCAGGAAAAGGCTGCCAGTACCTGACATCATCATGTAGGCCACTGGCCCTCCTCAGCTGTGTCAGTCCACTTGGTGGGGACCTCCTGCACATAGGGGCCTCCGGGAACTGGTTGGCAACAGGGGTGGCGCCACCCTACTGCCCCATAGGTGGAGAGTAGCAGTGCCTACAGAGTCTGAAGCCCCCACATCTCTGGGCTGAGGTCCGCACGGCACCTGTTGGCCAGTGTCCATCAACTCCATGGAGGGCAGAGGGGAGCTCAGAGTCACAGAAGTTACCCCTAAGTCCGTATAAATGCAACACCAGGACAGAGGCCCACTGCCGCTCTATGAAAACAGGAATAATTCTGGGCCTTGCAGGTGAGAGCAGCTGAGGCAGTGGCAAGATCCATGGGGCAGAGGAGGCAGTGTACAGCGGGGCAGCTAATTCCTCAAGGCAGCCAACCTGGAAACCAAAGCAGGACTCAGTGTGAAGGGCAGGGTGGGCGGCTCTGACCAGGGAGCCAAAGGCCTGTCCTCTGTTCAGGGGCAGTGACCACCTTCCTCCTCAGTTTCAGCATTTTACGGATGTCTTGAGGTAACATGAAAGACCCTGGGAGTAGCCATGCACTGTTTTGCCCTTATTTGCTACACTGGGAAGGGCAAAGATTTCTCTTTCTAAAAGGAGGTCCCCGCACACACCTGTGTGTAAATGCCCTGTCTAGCATGTACTCTGACACCTTCTGTGCACACCTTAGCACAGACAGGCCTGGAGAATTGGGGGAAGAAGCCATCCTCCCTGACAGCCCCAGGACCAGTGCTGTCTGCAAAGCCTCTGCTCAGCTGACCTGGAGCCACCAACCTCTAACTCTGCCTTACTTCCTACAGCGGGGAAGTGAGTGGTTCAGAATGCTGCATTTCACGGTCATGTCCCTACCTCCGAGACAGCTGGTCCTCCTGGCTACGTACGGAGCTCTCGCCCACAGCAGAGGCACCCTCGGGCAGCTGGCTGAGCTGGTCTAGTACCTCTAGGCCATTCTCCTCGGCAATCTGCACAATAAGGCTATCCACTTGCTCCTGAGGCGTAGTGAGTGTGGTGGCCGAGCTCATGGAGTCTTCCATCACCTGGGGCAGGAGGCACAGGTACAGCCACAAGCACAGCTTCCCAAGGGCTGGACTATGTGTCTCTTTCACACTCTCTCCACCCAGATTCCTCCTCACCGTTCTCACGACACTGTCTCTGGCTCCCTCCAGAGCCTTGCCAGACACATGCCCAGCCCTGCCCCGGTGTCTACCCATTCCAGGAGGCACCTTGTGCCTCTCCACATGTCCTAGAGGAGGTCCTGTTGCCCTGTCCACCCTCCCTCGGGGTCCTAGCAGGACCCTAGCACACAGGGTGCTTGGTGACGCCAGGGAGCAGAAATGGCATGTGCCATTGGTGTGTCAGCCTCTGAGCACTCTCCCAAGGGGCTGCTGCAGTGCCTTCCCACCCCCAGGTTACATACCGATGTGTGTACATCCAGGTTCTGCACCTGCTGCTCAAATCTGTCCATCACTGCAGACACCTTCTGCAGGTCCATGGTGCTCAGGGCCTTGTCTAGGGCTTTGGTCACTTGTGCCATGTTCTTGGTCACCTGGGACAGGAGCAGATTGGGGCATGGAGCAGGATGAGAGATGAGCAAAAGTCACCACATAGCATGAGTCCCCTGAAGCTCTGATGGCAAAGCCAGGTCCTTAAAAAACCCAGGCCCCTAAAAAGTGGGTCTGGGCTGAGCCATCACCTCAGGTCCTCAGGAAGTGCAGTCAGCTGGATGGACAAGCACAAGGAGAGCTTGGAAAAAGCTGACACAGTAGGTCCTCAGAATTGGCTCTCTCGGCTCGGCACCTATAGCTCAACCGGCTAAGGCGCCAGCCACGTACACCTAAGGTGGCGGGTTCGAATCCCCAGCCCGGACCCGCCAAAACAACAACGACGGCTGCAACCAAAAAATGGCCGGGCGTTGTGGCGGGCGCCTGTGGTCCCAGCTACTTGGGAGGCAGAGGCAGGAGACTCGCTTGAGCCCAGGAGTTGGAGGTTGCTGTGAGCTGTAATGCCACGGCACTCTGCCCAGGGGGACAGCTTGAGGCTCTGTCTCAAAAAAAAAAAAAAAAGAATTGGCTCTCTCTTCTGCCCCCTATTACTGCCTGGGAGAGGATCCCCAGAATGGAACCAAGGCTCAGATATGGCTTCCCCTGGCCAGCCAAGACAGGCGTAGCCATGCCAGCTCTCCATTATGTGGGGTCCTGTGAAGATCAAGGGTTCTTCCTGTGACATCAATGTGACCCCAGGACCTGGACTGCTCTGTGTCTGAGCCAGCACTTCCTGGTACCACAGCTCTAAGCTGACCCAGCTTCCCACAATGGGGAGCCACCCGAGATCCACCCCTCAAACCCTTTCCTGCTTCAGCTGGCAGAAGCCACCACCTGGGAGCAATGCCTAGCACTCACCCCTTTCATGGTCACAGCCGTTTGCACCTTGGAGGCCACTGCGTCCACACGGGATGCCATGCGCAGCCAGTTCACACCCTCATTCTTCTTGCGGATGGCATTCTCGGCATATACACGGGCACACTCCACATTCTTTTGCTGAAGGGCCTAAGATTGGGGGGAAACAACAGCTGGGAGAACTCAGTGGTTTGTGTGTCCCTGCTAGGGACCTGGTGCTGACCTCCCAGGGGGCACCACTATCCTGAAGTGGGGGCCCCTTCACAATCTTTTCTAGGTAAACTCATCAGAAACATCTGTGAGCTTCATAAACATGCAGAGATCCCCAGGTCCTGAGCCTACTCGGGTGCATGAGTCCAGGAATGGAGCAGCAGTACCAGCCAAAGGGGGGATTCCCCCCAACCGATGCACATACCCTCCCTTGGTGCCTTACAAGCTCTCAACCAGCACTCTACAGGAGTATGAACGCTCAGCACCCAAGAAGGCACACCCACAGATCGAACAGGCCCAAGCACTAGTTATGTGGACTGAGGGTTCCGCTCTGCCCTGGGAAGGCTGTTTGGGTGAGGAGTTACCAAAATTCTATTAGGCAAAGTTTTAGAAGCTACCTAAGATTTAGCTGAAAGTCTCCAAAAAAAGATTCAGATCCCATACTTCCTCAGCCTTGCCCCTCAGTAAGCAGCAGGCCCTTCCTGGGGACCCTCCCAAGTGAGCACTTGCTCTACAGAGGAGACAGTTAAAAATGACAGGATTGTGGTAGGTGGCTGGAAGCCCACTTCCTACACAATTAATAGCAAAATCAAGTTCAGACCATCAGAAATGAATAAAAGGTCAAAGAACAAAGACAACACATCTTTCTGCTCCTTAGTAGGCTGGAGCCACTTAAGGGTCCACCACACCTGACACCTCCCTTCCCTCAATCTCGCTGTTCTCTTGTGAGAAGAGAATATTTTGAGGCCAAGAGTCACGGTAAGATTAAATCATGATGCACATACACACATGTGCGTGCACAATCTTCAAAACAAACAACAAAAACAAGGGTAGATAAGAAAAGAATACAAAGAAAAATCACAAACGTGAAGACAGCCCAAGCCCTCACCTTCTTCACTTTGGCCTGCTCGGCCTTGGAGTCCTTCTCTGCCTTCTTCGCTAGTTTCTCCAGTTGTTTTGCTGTGAACTGAACATGGACACCCTGAGTCAGAGAGCCTACCTTCCAGGCCCCTCCCTAGGCCCAACCTTGGTCCACGCTGGCTCCCGAACACTCATCAACCAGCCTGAGCCCGCAGAGGCAGAAAGCCTGTGGTGTGTGTGCTCACTGCCAGCTGGGATGCAAGGGGTTGACCCACCTCCAGGAAAGAGACACCCTATGTCTCATGGTCTGTATGGCAAAAGGGGGCTGTTCTAAAATGCCTGTCTTCTCTTTGAAGATCCTGATCCTACCCTCCTCTAGAAAAACTCGAGAAAACCTGTGACAGGTCACCCCCACATAGTAACACTAAATTCAAGGTTAAAAATACACTTGCGAGGCTTGGTGCCTGTGGCTCAAGTGGCTAAGGTGCCGGCCACGTACACCTGAGCTGGAGGGTTTGAATCCAGCCCTGCCCGCCAAGTAATAATGACAGCTGCAACCAAAAAATAGCCGGCCATTGTGGCGGATGCCTGTAGTCCCAGCTACTTGGGAGGCTGAGGCAAGAGAATTGCTTAAGTCCAGGAGTTGGAGGTTGCTGTGAGCCGTGATGCCACGGCACTCTACCCAGGGTGACAGCTTGAGGCTATGTCTCAAAAAAAAAAAAAAAAAAAAATCCCTTGCGAGTGTCATCTTCACAGAACACCATGTGTGTGGCCTGACTACTTTGCCAACACCACGAAGAAATGTCGGTATGTCCATAGGGCCTCTGGCAAACCAATCCAGAATCAGAAACCAGGGCACCAGCAACCACCAGGCTGCGACAGGCTGAGCAGGCCCCTGCCCTGGCTCCTATCCCATGTGCTGCCCCTTGTGGGTACCTTTCCATCAATGCCTCTTGTCCTCAACAACATCTTGCAGAGCCACTCTGGGACTGAGAGTATCCCAAACTACTTTCAGGAGCCTGTGAACATCGCTTCTGTTCGGTAACTCAGAACTAGCAATAAAACAAAATAATGCTAATATAGATGATCAACCATGACAACATTTAAAAGAAATATTCAGAAATAGGCCCTAGATTATTGGAAGGTACAAAAACCTCCCCAGATAGGAGGAATACTTAGCTGTGCCATGGCGTCACAGCTCACAGGAAACTCAAACTCTTGGGTTGAAGTGATTTTCTTGCCTCCAGCTTTCCAAGTAGGTGGGACTACAGGCACCCTGCCACAACACCTGGCTATTTTTTAGAGATGAGGTTTTGCTCTGGCTCACGCTGTTCTCGAACCTGTAAGCTCAGGCAATCCACCCACGTTGGCCTCCCAGAGTGCTGGGATTACAGGCGTGAGCCACCACATAAGGCTCTCCGTCAAATAGGATCTTAAAACAGTTTGAGGCCACATTTGAGTTTTATTTATTTAGAGATAAGAGTCTCACTTTGTCATCCTGGTAGAGTGTTGTATCATCCTGGTTGAGAGCTATCATAGCTCACAGCAACCTCAAACTCCTAAGCTGAAGCAATCCTTCTGCATCAGCCTCCTGAGTAGCTGTGACTACAGGTGCCCACTACAATGCCTGGCTAGTTTTTCTATATTTTAGTAGAGATGGTGTCTCATTCTTGCTCGGGCTGGTCTCAAACTCCTAAGCTCAAGGGATCCTCCTACCTTGGGCCTCCCAGTGTGCTAGGATCATAGGTGTGAGCCACCGTGCTCAATTGCCATATCTGAGTTTTAAATGTCTAGCAGAACATCAAGGCATGAACATAATACCCAAGTTGTGTTTCTTAAAGATAAAACACTCAGTCTTTCATGGATGAACCTAAGTTACCTGCTCCCACTTAGCCTGGGATAATAGTTAATATGTCATCAGGCTGATTCAGTTATTCTTCTTCAGTCAGCAGTTTGAGAACTGGGTGGCAAGTACTCAACTGTTACAATCTGTCCCCTGACTTTGTACCTGAGACTCTGAGTGTGACTTATACTATCTATCCTTACTCGCTGACCACCAGGGCAGGGTTGGGATGAATGCTCATTCAGTACGTACCTTCAACTGGAACAGGGTATCTGCAAAAGAGAGAAAATGGTTTGAGGTTTCCAGCTGTAATAAGCAGCACTTCTAATATGCAGATGGGATCGTTAAGACCTCTCTAGACACCAGGAGGGAATGCAGACATGGACCGTATTTGCCAGGGGCCTTCAAGGAGGCCCACCAAAGGTAGAGTCAGAAGATGAACAGCGTACCAGGGCTCCAGCATACAATGACCCTCCCACACCTGTTTCTCACTGGGAACATGAGGATGGCACCAGCCAAGCTCAAAGGGCTAGAGGCTAGTATGAGGACAGATAAGGTGACGAATACAGTACTTGGCTGTGATGACAACTCAAATATATGGTGGTGTATAATTAATCAAACTTTGCAGTCTGTTTTCTTTCTTTTTTTTTTTTCGAGACAAAGTCTCACTTTGTTGTCCTTGGTAGAATGCCATGGTGTCATAGGTCACAGCAACCTCAAACTCTTGGCTCAAACGATTCTCTTGCCTCAGCTTCCCAAGTAGCTAGGACTATAGCCCCCCCCACATGGTGCCCAGCTATTTTTTATATATATATTTTTGAGACAGAGTCTCTCTATGTTGCCCTCAGTAGAGTGCCGTAGTGTCATAGCTCACAGCAACCTCCAACTCTTGGGCTTAAGTGATTCTCTTGCCTCAGCCTCCCAAGTAGCTGGGACTACAGGTGCCTGCCACAGTGCCCGGCTATTTTGTTGTTGTAGTTGTCATTGTTGTTTTGCAGGCCTGGGCTGGAGTCGAACCTGCCAGGCTCCAGTGTATGTGGCTGGCGCCCTAACTGCTCAGCTACAGGCACTGAGCCAGCAGTTTTTTTTTTTTTTTAAGAGACAGGGGTCTCCCTCTTGCTCAGGCTGGTCTTGAACTTCTGAGCTCAAGCAATCCACCCACCTTGGCCTCCCAGAGTGCTAGGATTACAGGTGAGAACCAACACGCCTGGCCTGCGGTCTGTTTTTATATTCTCTTTCTACTTAAAGGAAAATGGACACAGGTAGCAAGGTGGTAACTCTTCTGCTATTAAGAGCAGCTTCAGTGGAAGCAGCCATTCTGAGTGACAAATCGGGCTCAGGGACCATCTCTGCCCACACAGAACTGAGGAGACTTAGTGTATTAGGGAGTAAATCCACTGATACCCAGACCTGCTCCTCACTCAACAAACCTAAACAGCCAGAGAAATTTGCATTGATGTCAGTTTATTCAGTTTCTAGATTTGGATCGTGGCCATGACACTTGATCCCTAACAGGGCTAACTCACCACACCAGCCCACAATGAGGAAATAAAACCTGTAAGCAGAATTTGGGTCCTGAGCGATCACAAATGCAAACCCAGCTGAGACCTGCTCACACCTGCCAACTACCTGCGCAGGTGCTGGTTAAGAGCAAAGTCATCTGTGACTTTGGGAAAAAGAACTATCCTGACCCAAGGTTTAGGCAAAAGCACACAGCCCACTCAACGTGCTGTATGGTGCTGGTCCAATCACCCTCCCTTCAGCCTCAGCTCTCTGATACAAATGTGTGTGGGATAACTAGACTCTAAAGCACAAAAAGCTTGTTGAGGTAAAACCCTGGATAAAAATGATATGGGTTCAAAAACAGGTCCCTCAAAAGAGCTGAGTAAGCTGCGGAGCAAAAACTAACATTTGGGGGAGAGGAGTTAGGTGCGCTCATCTTCTCTCTCATGCCATTTGCAGAAAACCTTTACAGTTCCCTCCAGGACAATGACATGGCTGTACTATACCTCTGTACATTTCAAAACATTTTTACAAGCCTCTGGCACCAGCCCATAAACATTTCAGCAAATATTGGCACCTTCATTTTCCAGATTCTTTCCTGTGCTTCTGAGCACAGAGCAAGTCCTGAGGGGTCGAGATCAGGGATGGGAGCTAGGCTGCCGCGGGAGGGGGGGGTGTCCCTCTCAACCTGAGAACCTCCTTCTCTACTGTGTAGAACGGGAGGTGGGGGGAACACAGTTCGTATCTCAAAGAGTTACGTGAGGAAGGCCACGCCTAGAGCTCCTATTTCTCCTGGTGGTGTTCTGGGTGCAGCGGGTGCAACTGCCACCTTTCCTGATATTACAGGGTTCCCCAAGGCGGAAACGGCCATCGCTGTCCATCCCCGGTGCTGGAACTGGCGGGGAAAGGCCGCAAGCCGGGGGAGGGTTGGAACTGGACGGGGGGTGAGATCCGGGGTGGAGGCCCAGGGGACAGGATACTGGTCCGGGAGTCGAGGCCCAGGGTTAGAAGTCCCCAGGTGGGGGTAGAGGCCCAGGGCCCGAGAGATCTGCCTGAGCCCCGCCCGCGGCCCATGTGGGCGGAGCCCGCGCCAGAGGGAACGGCGGTCCCGAAGCACCTCCCCGGAGTGTGGCGGCGGCCTCTTACCGTCCATGGCCAGGCGAGCGGCGGCGCCCCTCAGAGAGGCAGAGGGACACGAACTCGGCGACTGCAAATCCCGGCGGCAATCGAAAAAACCAGCTTCGCCCGGCAGGGCCTTCCGGGGTCACCACCCCGCTTCCGGTGCGCGGCTCGCTCTCGCGAGAGGATGGCGCCACACCTCTCCCCACTGCGGGCGGGGCCAGCGGCGGGGTTACCGTGGCGACGCACAGGCGCAGGTGGAGACCCGTTTGTGAGTCACTCGCCGCTGCGCAGCCGGGGAGGCACAGGTAGCCAGGCTTGTGCCGGCGGGGGCGGTGGGCTCACGCCTATGGGACTGTGCAAAAGCAAACACAAACTCAAGAAAGGTAACGCGGGCTCTCCCGGTGCAGGTGGTCCCTGCTCCCCGAAGTCCTAACGACGGCGACTTAAGAGTCTCCCTCCAAACATGTTTGGGGTCCATTTTACTCTGGACCAAAGCAGGCAACTGAAGACGGATGGGGTCCGTTGCCCTAGACACTAAGGTATAGCTCTCATCATCTGTGTATTTCAGGCGAGGAGCAAAAGAAGGCACCCACCAGTTCGGCCCCAAAGTCTAAGGAAAAGCACCCCCAGGAATCCAGGCAGTCAGACAAGGAGTTGGAGAAGCTCTCAGATCCTCCTGCGGGGGCAGACGAAGGTAGGTGGTGGGAAGGCACAGGGTGGGGGTCTTCACCGTGCAGGGGCTTGGGGCAAGCTGAGCAGGAGCCAGTTTCTGAGGCCACAGTGACTGGGTGCTGAGGGCGAGTGATGCCCTAGAGGGGGTTTGTTTTAGGACCTTTGTGTAGGACGTAAATCCAGAATTCTTGGTGAAAAATGTCAGTTCAATAAAAGTTTAGTTAAGTTCCCACATGATAAATGCATAACAGAGTCAAGAGGGACTAATGCAGCACAGATAGAAAGCACGTTTCCCAGCCAAGTGATCCAGGACGGCTGCCCATCTGGTACCACTGTGATTCCTTCAGCGTGCCACAACCTGGAGTGGAACCTTGGTATGCAGTTCGAGGCTGGGGTGGAGTGGTGGACCACTCTGCCCTGCACAAGTGAGGAGGTAGGAGTGGGTATGACTGGGTGGGACAAAGGACTCAAACAGTTTTGAAAACTTACTCATTTTGCAACAGCCTGCAGTGGCCAGAACTTTGGGTGTGTGTGGGGAAGATGTATCCACAAAATCAGGAAAAGGCCAAATACAAAGTCTTCGATCAGTTTTATCATGTGGGTTTTGGAGATGGAACTGTGAAATATTTAAACAAGGGAGTTACACCTGCAGTTCCAGCTACTTAGGAGGCTGAGGCAGGAGGATCACTTCAGCCCAGGAATTTGAGGCCAGCCTGGGCAGCATAATGAATCCCATCTCTAAAAAACATTAAAAATTTGGCTCGGCGCTCATAGCACAGTGGTTACAGCGCTGGCCACATGCACTGAGGGTGGCAGGTTCGAACCTGCCCAGGGTCTGCTAAACAACGACAACTATAACAAAAAAAATAGCTGGGCATTGTGGTGAGCACCTGTAGTCCCAGCTACTTGGGAGGCTGAGGCAAGAGAATCCCTTAAGCCAAGAGTTGAGCTATGATGCCACGGCATCATACTCTATCAAGGGTAACAGAGTGAGACTCTGTCTCAAAAAAATAAATAGGGCGGCACCTGTGGCTCAAAGGAGTAGGGCGCGGGCCCATATGCCAGAGGTGGTGCGGGCCCATATGCCAGAGGTGGTGAGTTCAAACCCAGCCCTGGTCAAAAACTACAAAAAATAAATAAATAAATAAATAAATAAAAATTTTAAAAAGTGAAAACATGGCTTGGCGCCTGTGGCTCAAGTGGCTAAGGTGCCAGCCACATACACCTAAGGTGGTGGGTTCAAATCCAGCCTGGGCCCACCAAACAACAATGATGGCTACAACCAAAAAAAAATAGCCAGGTGTTGTGGCGGGCGCCTGTGGTCCCAGCTACTTGAGAGGCAGAGGCAGGAGACTTGCTTGAGCCCAGGAGTTGGAGGTTGCTGTGAGCTGTGATGCTACAGCATTCTACCCAGGGGGACAGATTGAGGCTCTGTCTCCAAAAAGAAAACATTACAAATTTAAAAATAAAAAATAAGAGAGGCTGGTGAGGTCTGTGTTTTGGAAATTTCTAGCTCCAGAATAGAGGCTGACAGGGGAAGCAAGGAGCCCAAGGGAAAAGACCTAACAGAACCCCCTTACTGTAATCCTATGGGAACCAGTGAGCTAGTGGCAATAGGAATTATAGAAGGATCCAGGAGGTGGAACCAGCTGCTGTCTGATGGGACAGAGGAGTTGGTAAGCCAGGAGGAGTTTCAGCAACCATGAGAATGAACCTTCTATGGACCCAACAGGAGGAGAAGCACAGCCTGGCAGGACAGAGGAGTCTTGCTTTGTCACCTGGGCTAGAACCCCCTTGTTGTCATTATAGTTCACAGCAGCTTCAAACTCCTGGGCTCAAGGGATCCTCCTGCCTCATCTTTCCAGTGTGCTGGGGTTATAGGCATGAGCCACAATGCCTGGCCCACACAGAGGAATTTGGTTTCTCACAAAGAAATGAAGGGTCAGAGGCAGGACTTCTAGGTGGTTTGCAAAGCTGTAAAGCCATAACATCCAGGGCTTGGTATGTTCCTGTTTCACCACCCTCGATGTCAGGAATGTCTTCCTCCACAGCCCCCAGATGGCTGTACGGTCCCAGCAACTTGAGAGGCTGAGGCAAGAAGATTGCTTGAACCCAGGAGTTTGAGGTTGTAGTGAGCTATGGTTTATGATTACACCCCTCATACCCAGGCACCAAAGTAAGAGCCTTTCTGTAACTTCAATGTAACTTTCGAGTGCCATTGACTTATGTTTGAAGAAGCTTTCTGAGTCCACATGAAGGGATGTTCCTTTAAGACCCTCTGAATTGATTAGAAAGCTAATCATGCAGGAGGCAGACCCTGAAAGCAGAGTCTGGCTGTCTCTGGAATGTCCTGGAAGGGACTCTGAGAGTGAGAAAAAAGGTAAGTTAATGTGCATTTCAATTACAAGTTATACCTGTTTTCTCAAATGGTTGAATAAGTTTTTATGGTTGCTCAATCTGATTTCTTTGTACTCTTATCATATAAACCATTCTATTTTATTAATAGAATGTGTATGTGCAGAACTTAGTATTGTTAAACTATATAAGCTTACAAGAAATAAAGTTAGGCGCTGTTGGACTGAGCAAGCTACCATCTCCCCTCTTAAAAACATTTCAGTGCAGACTATTCCTCTGCAGCACCGACTCATGCAATTCACGCAACACTTATCTTCCCCCCAAAAGGAGAAGATTGTTAGGAGAATCCTTAGAGATTTGTGCTCCAAATGTGGCATGTGGACTGAAGCTTGACAACTCTTTAGGCAAATTGGGCATTGGATGATAATTTTTTAGATAATTTTTTTAGATGCATTATAGTTATGCTAAAATAAAATCCTTATCTGATAAGGAGATATACTGCCTTTATGGGTGAAATTATATGTCTAACATTTGCTTGAAGATACTCAGATAAAAAAGAGAAAGATAGACAAGATAAGGTAAGAAAATATTGATCAAAGCTAGGTGATGTATATCTAGGTACTGATACTACATCTTGTGTGTGAATACTTTCATCATGTTTTTATAAAGGTGGAGTATACTTAATTGAAAGAAAATTTTGAAAAAGAGTAGAAACTTAAGGAACATTTTTATCAGCTATTAAAAATACCAAGTTGAGTGAACAAAGTCTCAAAAGGTCTCATGATTTGATTCTATTTGTATAACATTCTCCAAGTGACAAAACTATAGACAGAGAACACACTAGTGGCTGCCTGGGGTTAGGTATAGGGTGTGCAGGCAATAAGTGTGTCTACAAAGGGACAACAGAAGGGAGATGGCTATGACTTTGGTGGTGACTACTTGTGATTAACGGTGTAGATCTGTATACACACATTACACCAGTGTTAGCATTCTTGTGTAAACACTACACCACATATGTGGATATTGTATTACAATTCTGCATGAGCATTGGGAGCAACTGGGTGGAGGGTACATGGGACTTCTCTGTAGTACTTTTGCAACTTTCTGTGAACTTACAATTATTTTAAAAATAATTTTTTTTTTTGCAGTTTTTGGCTGGGGCTGGATTTGAACCCACCATCTCCGGCATATGGGGCCTGTGCCTTACTCCTTTGAGCCACAGGCGCCACCTAAAAATAATTTTTTTAACATATCACAACATTTAATAATTAAGATATAGTTCCAGCATAAGAACAGATCAATGAAATATGAAATAGAGACAGTAAGTCCATAGTATGTACACATACTGTGATTAATATATGATGAAACTGGCACCAAAAATAAGTGGGAAAGGGAAGGATTATATAGTAAATGATGCTTGGAAAACTACCTCACACTTTATAGAGAAAACATACGTTGGATTGTAATCCCTTGCCTCTAATGGGATGAATTCCAGATGGGTAAGAGCAAATAGAAAAAGAGAATAATGGCTCAGTGCCTGTAGCTCAGCGGCTAGGGCGCTAGCCACATACACTGGGGCTGGCAGGTTCAAACCTGGCCTGGGCCAGCTAAACAACAATGACAACTACAGCAACAACAAAAAGTAGCTGGGCGTTGTGGTGGGAGCCTGTAGTCCCAGCTACTTGGGAGACTGAGGCAAGACAATCGCTTAAGCCCAAGAGTATGAGGTTGTTTTGAGCTGTGACGCCACGGCGCTCTACTGAGGGTGACAGAGAGAGACTCTGTCTCAAAAAAAAGAAAAAGAAAAAGTGAATAGAAAAACAATAAAGTTGGGTGGTGCCTGTGGCTCAGTGCTTAGGGCGCCGGCCCCATATACTGAGGGTGGCAGGTTCAAACCTGGCCCCAGCCAAATTGCAACAAAAAAATAGCCAGGCGTTGTGGCAGGCGCCTGTGGTCCCAGCTACTTGGGAAGCTGAAGCAAGAGAATCATCGCCTAAGCCCAGGAGTTGGAGGTCACTATGAGTTGTGACATCATGGCACTCTACCGAGGGCGACAAAATTAGACTCTGTCTCAAAAACAACAAACAAAAAAACAATAAAATTGTAAATATTAATCTGATTTCTCAATGGGGAACATCTTTCTAAGCCTTAAAGCACAGGAAGATCACGAAGGATTTCACTACATTAAAATATTAAACATCTTCCCAAACCCTCTATAAACAAACATAAAGCTCAAAAAATATTTGCAACATAACGTAAGAGGCCAAAGACTAACACATCAAGTAGAGATTGGGGGCTCCAACACAGGGCTGTGGAAGTACAAATCTTTCTAGCAGGCAGTTAATGTCATGACATTCTAAGACAGCCCCCAGGATCCCTTTCCCTGGTAACAGCCCTGTCTACTCCCGTCCCTAAGAGGACGGATGGACCAAAGAAGAGGAGGGGCTGTCACTCCTGAAATTAGGGAATTCATCAGTTGGTTCTGACTTGATCAAATGTGGGTTATCCTGGGGGGCCCTGATGTAATCAGAAAAGGCTTTTAGGAAAGGTGAAAATGTCAGAGCATCTGGGAGCTTCAAGCAAGTCTCTGCCAACAGCTTGCAAGAAGATTGGGGCTTCAGTCCTTGAACTACAAAGAAATAAATTCTGGCTACAAACTGGGTGACCACAGACAAGGACAACCTGCTCCACATGAGGATGCGGCCAGCTGACACCCGTGTGAAACCCTGAGCAGAGACCCAGCCAAGCCAGCCTGGACTCCCATGCTATGGAAACTGTGAGGCAATAAATACGTGTGGTGATGTAAGTGCTTACTTTTGGGGTAATTTGTTATGTAATGCCAGAAAACTAGTACAGGTACTGTGTATCAAGAAGCCTAAAGAGATTCATGTTTTTAAGTGAAACTAAATTTTGAGGAATATAAAAAAAAATCTTGTTTTGGACTAGAAGATCTCAATAAGGTAAAGATACTATTTCTTCCTTCATTAATCTATAAAATCAAACACCAAATCAAAACAACACAGGTAGTTTTGGGAATATGATCAAATTACTTTAAGTTCATCTAGAAGAATAAAAGAATAAGAGGAAACATCTAGAAAATCAGAAGCATGAGGAGAGTTTGGCCCTGGGATATTTAAGTAAATCTGGTAAACAGACTGGGGGGTAGAATAGAGTTTACAGCAAGGGGATCATGTCAAATGCATGGCAGCACATGGGAGATTCACTACACAGTGCTGGGACAGGTGATTGCCCAATGTAGAAAATAAGGGGCTGGTTTGGCGCCTGTAGCACAGTGGTTATGGGGCCAGCCACATACACTGAAGTTGGTGGGTTCAAACCCAGCCTGGGCCAGCTAACCAACAATGACAACTGCAACAAAAAATAGCTGGGTGTTGTGGCAGGTGCCTGTAGTCCCAGCTACTCGGGAGGCTGAGGCAAGAGGATC